TCAATGCTACCAAAAAACCATTCCATATAAAATCTAAAAATAACATAAGTAAAAAAATGAAAAAAATTAAATAAAAGAATCGCCTTGAATTGTAGGTGGTCGGCAATGCAGAGTCGAGAATTCTATTCCGAGCAACGCAAATAGCTCAAGTAAATAAACCTTCGTTGTTTTCACCTTCCCATACTACTATTGCCGCATTTTCACGAAGCAATGAAAAACACAAAGAAAATGAGTCAAAAACCAAGTTGATACGAAGTGTTGGTATGTGTGTAACTAATCTGGACAAACAAATGAAGATCTACTCCTATTTTGCTCAAGAAATGAATATGCGCCACAATCTCTAGCCGAAGATTATGTCGAAAGGCTGTGCCGGTTAGCAGAATCTTTACAGAAGAGAATACGTAATTGCGGCTTCATATGGATGTGTTTAGAGTTTGGACACAATCCGGCAACATCTGAGTTCCACTCTGATATTTCAAGCAATTTTTGTAAACTCATTGATCAAAAAAAGAAAAAAAAAATGACACCCAAAGAACTACTCAGCCATTCCTGAAGAATCGAAATCCGTGAAATAAATGGTACGGAAAAGAACAACACTGAATGTCAACATACGTCGCTCATGTGAGATATGTAACTCTTTTTCATATTATTCAGGTTCTCTAAAGTTGCACAATAAGCTCTCTCAGTCTTCGCCAGTTCATCCTGACACTTCTGGTAACGATCACGTTGTTTCGATTCGATATCCAAGGAAATTGTCGCATCACCGCATGCATTCCTCATCTGAATTAAATTTTAGCAGTTTTAGCTTCAAGCAGGCTAGCTTGTGCTGCAACTCCAACAGGAAAAGAAATTACCTTGAAGTGAAAATGAAAAACACCTCTAAGGTTTATCAAATTTCACCGAGCAAGCTGTCAGTTTTCAGAGAACAATTTTTACAAAAATAGCTTTCATTTTCACCTGGACTTGGGCAGTGCGCTCGGCCTTGGATGCCGCATGAAATGCTTTTTTTGCTTTTTCCACCTTCTCATACTGTCGCCGCCAAGTTCGTTGCGCCCGCTCAAAATCTTCTTCAATTTCACGCAATTCTTTTGAGGCTCGAAACGGTGATGGATGATGATTGTCTTTCAGATACAGTGCAATGGTTTTCAAAATCTGAAATAATTATGCTAGAGCACTTAAATTTATAACATAGCAATTAAAACTGGTGCATATTATGATTATTTTAACCTATCAATGCGGGCTTACGGGACATTGATAAAGCTCTATTCTGCCAGGGCTGATCCTACTAAAAGTTAAAGGCCAGAAATTTCCAGTGCACGAGTTTTCCAACAAAAACGAAAAGATAACCTCCTCGCAGATGCGATCTCGGACATGCCCATGAAGTCTTTGCAGTTCCATGCTCTCCTCCAAAACATCTCTCCAAACATCTTGCAGTGCGGATGCAGCTAATCCACCGATATGCGTTGACCACTTATCATTGTAGGCTTGCAAACATTTGCTGTAACTTGTTTCAATATCCACTCGCTCCTGCAAAAAATCGTTCTGAAGTAAAAACAAAAGAAAGGAAACCTGAAGAAACAATGCGATAATAAGTGCTGAAAATGAAACAAATTTTACAGGGCAGCAAGTTGCCTGACTCAAGTTGCTTTTACAGGGTAACAAGCCCAAGAATCTGGCTCGAGTTGCTTTTGGCAATTGCTACCACTAACGTGCCTTCGCCTCTCTACGCGAGAAGTAGCCTCAGTGGCAGCAAATGCCAAAAGCAACCAGCCGTTGCCGCGAGGCTATCAATGGCTCTCCTTTTTCGAAAGTTTTTTTATAAGCAAGTTTTCAGGCACACTAGTTTTTACAAGAAAAGCAACCCTAATCATTGCTTGTATATCGCAAAGCTGGTCGATCCCTTC